CCCCAAAACCCCAAAACCCCAAAACCCCAAAACCCCGAATGATCAAATTAAGATAGAGCCAGTTTAATAAAATATAATAATAAATATGGGGTCAGCTTCTGGTACGAAAAGGAAGGCAGTGGGATCGAGAGGTGGAGAAAGTGGAGATCATATGAGAAAAGTGTGGCTGAGTGTAAAAATTGGGTGGTAATTTATAGCCAGATGAGATCTATTTGTTTGAATTCCAAGTTAAGACAGCAGAGAGACAAGTTATTGCATATTCCAAGTTAAAAGAGGGGAAGTTTCTTAGTAGATTATCTCAAATTTTGAGTTCATTATTATTTATCAAGAGCCAGTTAGACCAGATTGACTGGGAAGAAATTTGATTGAAGTATGAGAATTTTAAAGATCAATATGTCCTGCTTTGCAGTTCTTGCAATAATTTAGTAAACCAAGTTAATCAAATGAAATGAGTGCAGTTAAGTAAGGATCTCTCATAAATTTCCCTATTTTAAAACGACAATTATTTCTAATACAAAGTCACAGTTTAAACATTAGAAGATTTCACTTTGATTAATTCTACTGTCTCTCCTTTGCTCAATCCTTGCATCCCGATTTCCTAGCATTAAATTCCTACTATATTCAGTCAAAACCCTGGCTAAAATTTCCTCAAAAAATACAAATTTTAATAAACCTCCCTATAAAAATCTCCAAATATTTCTAAATCTCCAATTTTTGCTTAATAAAAAATTCACAACCTTTCATCTTCATAACCTGATAACTTATAGACTCTACTCCCACATTTCATCTTCCAGAAGAGAAGTCTCAGTCTGGTTCTCTTCAGAAGCCAGATCTCGTTTTGGCCGAAGAAATATATCAAGAATACTGCCAAATGGATATTAAATTTTTATGTGATGTTTATTACACAATTTTTGGAAAAAGAGCTAAGTTTACACCAAAGGATTACCTTTATCTTGACCATCAAGTAGTGAAAGTAGATAGTAGTGTTAGAAGAGTCAGCTCATCAGGTTCTGTTAACACAACTCAAGCAAGCTCAGCTAATTTAGAAAATAATATGAAAAAGAGATATCAATGATACAGTTTCATAAAGACAATCCAAACCTTCCCTTTAATAACTCTAGACTCAGTTCATTTAAAGAATATTCCCATTACAAACAAGACAATCAAGAAGTTCTTTAACTCTTGTTTTAGCACGGTAATACCTAAGATCAATATCTTTTCTTGAAAATTCACAATAATAGTTTATCAGATAATTTTATTTCATATTCGCTCTCAAGTTATGAAGAAAGTATCAGAGATATTATCTTTGCATGCTGATCAAGATAAATATCAAATTGATATTAGCATAACTTCGAACCTCTTGGATACTTTCATATTATCGAGGGTGGATCTAAGATTAGGAAATGAAGGCAGTTTTAAGTACTCATCCTTCCATTCCTTTGATAAAGACTGAAGTAAACACCTATTTTTATCGATCCTAAATATAGAACAATTCTTAATAATATGCTGTGATTAATCTGAATTCTTTCTTTGATATATCTGACTTAAAATTAACTTAAATTTATAGAAAACTATCTTAAATAAGCTCAATCTTTCCTTTGGACATAAGCTCACCGATATCTCAAAATACATGCCTCAGATAACAAGAATGTCTCACAAAGTAAAGGAGGCTATTACTTTAATTAACTTCAAGTTAACTACCAATCAGTTCCTACGTTTGATGGTCTCATACAAGCACTGTACACACATACTGCTTTACTCCTGCTCTCTACCTCTCACTGTCGCTCCTAAGTTATCCTTTCTGGAAGGCACTTCGATCAAATACTTATGCCTCAAAGATTGAGGAATTCCAAGCAGGACTAATTGGGAAAATAATCCTCAGTACTTTGTTAATCTATTCAAGGCAATTGGGAATTCTGGATTAAAGAAAAGCATTGAGAAGATTTATTTAGGCAACTGAGGACTTAGACAAGGATTTGTAGAGCAAGTGATGCAAACTAATCAACTCCAGATTGTTGAGCTTGCTGTAAAATTCATTTGTTAAAATTATATCAGTAAAAGCATTCTATCTTAGTTTTAAAGATTGGGGTTTTGGGGTTTTGGGGTTTTGGGGTTTTGGGGTTTTGGGG